TTATATTTAAAAATTAAAACAATTAATATATTTTCCCATTTAATTAGTCCCACCTACCATTTAATAAAATTAAATAAAATTTAATTAATTCTTCCATAAATTAGGAAATAATTTTATTAATTGAAAATTAAAGTTGAAGGACGTTTTTGATACTTTCTGAAGTTTAAGGATGAATTGGTTCAAAAATAAAAGTTGAGGGACCAATTTAGGCATTTAACCTAAAAAATATGTTAGTCACCTCAACATCACTATTCAATTAATCCTTAAATAGAAAAAGTTGAAAGTTGACATCCTTAAATAGAAAAGGTTGAAAGTTAACATCCTTATTTAGAAACTGTCAAAGTTAACATCCTTATTTAGAAAAAAATTGAAAGTTGACATCTTCATTTAGAAACTGACAAAGTTAACATTCTCAAATAAAAAAAAGTACAAAATTGAAATCCTTATTTGCACCTTTACTCTAGAAACACCAGACTAACTAATCCCTCTCCCTCCCACGAAAACCCCCTCATTTTCCCATCACTGCAGCCTCCTTCCTCTGAAGCAACATCAAAAGTAGCACCACCATTTCAATTTTTTCCACCACAAAGATCGACATTGCTAAAATGTTGAGATAAAGGGATTTGAAATTCACTAACCCAGAGAGATGAAGGATTTATTATGCAATTGAAAAGAGGAAAAGTAGTCTTGAATTTTATGGGTTTCAAATGATTTTTTTTTTTCATCTTTCTGCATGTACTTGCGATGTTCTTCTAAATGCTTGGTTGAATTCCTCTCATATTCTACAGATTGGCAAAATCAAGCTAGATCTCCAACTACGATTTGAAAACAAAACAAAAAAAAGTCAATGGATTTTTCTCTTTTTTTGTTCTTGTGTTGGAGATGAGATAGTGTTGACGACCACTTAAGATTTTTTTCAAAATAAATGAAAAATTAAGTGTGAAAATATATAAGAAAAAGGGAGTCGCCACTCGTCCACCAAATTATAAGGTGGGACAAGTCACCTAAAACGGGTCTGCGCAGAGATCAAGGTTCGAGGGTTCAGTTAGGAGTGACGAAAGGCATACGCACACCTCACAATCCTCCGTTTAAACACGGTTGCATACTTTAAAATTGGGTTTTAATTCAACTTATTTATTATGTTTATGTTTGAGTCTTAAAAAGCAAACTTGAAAAAAGAGATAAACTGAGTTAAAACATTTTTTTTTATTTTTGGACTGAAATAGACAATATCAAGAACATGCATGCACAATAAACACAAATAAAAT